GCCTTCTGCGAAGGCCTTCTCCTTCGCACGCCCCCCAAGGCTCGCCGCCGAGATCCGTTTGTTCCTCTTCTGCCCGGACGCCGAATCAATGGAACATCGGAAGGGGGTGAACATGCCAATCCTCGGCTACCCACGGGAGTAACCCTGGGCAAGAGTGGCCTCTGCCACGCGGCTTCAGCAAGGGGGCGCGGCCTGGCCACCTCCGAGCGCGCAAGCCGCTGCTGTCGCGCCGCGTGCAGGGCTCGTTGGGGATCCCGGAACGGCGTGGAGACGGAGGCCCAGAAGACCCCACCGCACGGTCCGTCGCCGCACGGCCTCGGGACCGGGGAGGTTCCAGCTGCCCGAGGTCATCCTCGGAGAACGGCCCGGGTGAGGAGGAGGAGGAAGAGGAGGAGGAGGATCAGGAGGAGGAGGAGGAGGAGGAGAAAAAGGAAGAGGAGGAAGAGGAAGAGGGCGAGGAGGAGGAAAAGGAAGAGGAGGAAGAGGATCAGGAACAGGACGAGGAAGAGGAGGAGGCCCCAAAAAGCCGTGCGGCCCTCTGGGCTCACGCCGCCGCGCCCGACGGTGCGGGCACCGCAGAGTGCTGCGGGACCTCCTCCGTGCCAACCCCCTGCGCGCTCCGCTGATAGCCAGAGGCGCTGGCGCGCCCTTCGACAACTGCAGCCGTGGGTCGTGCAACACGCTCCACGGCTCCCGCTCTCTAGGTGGAGTGCTCAGCGTCCTGGCTGGCGACGTCCTGCTGAGGCCGAAGGCCGCCTGCCCAGCAGCGGCCACTGCCGGTGTTGGACAGCATGTGTTGCTAGGCATCGTATATCCCTCTTGTCCGTGGCATCGTGCCCCTTTTGACCCCGTACCAATTTCGGGCGTCCGGAAAGGTGGGCACAGCTTTCGCGCGGCTTCCCGAGGACCCCGGGAAAGGTGCAGCCCAAGTGGCGCGAACAGCTAAGAACCCGTGGTCCAGGACCACTTCTAGCACTATCCGAACGCCGGGGGGGGGGGGCGTGAGGGGGGGTCGCCCGTGGGGTGCTGGGATATCCTTTGCCTAAGCGGTGGATCCGCGTAAACTCTGGCATCGCAGGCGTGCGGGGGTGGGCCGTCAGAGGGGGCGCCCCCGCCTCTTGCGGATGACATGGGGGCACTGATCGGGCGTTGGCGGGTCGGGGTGCAGCGGGACCTGGGTTCGAACGCCCCGATTGGAGCTTCGAAGGCACTGTGAAAGCAGACGCTGCAAGTGGCCACCACGATGAGATCTAGCACTGCCGGGCCGCGTCGCGATGACGTCTGACCAGGCCCGGCGTCATGGCCAAAACCGGCCCCCTCCACGGGGGCCCCCTCCACGGGCCCAGAACATGCTTGAATATCGGACAACTTGCAGCAATTCGCCGGCCCAACGGGCCAGAGGCGTGCTAAGATCTCCGGTGACTGCTTTACAATATTCTTCTTCGCGCGCGCGGGGCGGCCCCTGGGGGTCTCCCCACGAAAAGTACCCTGGCAGGGTCCCGGGAGACTCCCGGGAGGGTCCCGGGAGGTTCCCGTCAGAGATGTTCTCCCTCCTGGGTGCCGCCCTCGAGGTCCTCCAGAGAGCCTCCAGACGCCCCAAAACGCCCCCAAGATGCTACAAGAGGGCTCCGAGATGCCACAAGATCGCTCCAAGACGCTCCATGTGGCCCCCCAACGCCCCAGGAGGCCTCCAAGAGCACTCCCAAGAGGGCCCCAATAGGCAAAATTCATTGCTTTTCCTTAAGTTTTGGTGAGATTTTGGTATTCCCACCCTTTCCGCTTTCCAACGCCCGACGACGGCCCAAGAGGCCCCCAAGACCGCTTCAAGAGTGCCCAAGAGCGCCCCACAAGGGCCTTACGACGAGCCAAGATGGCCCCAAAACGGCCCCAGAGGGCCCCAAGACGGCCCAAGAGGGCCCCAAGAACGCCCCAAGAGCGGCCCCAGGGGGGGAACACGACACAACATGTCCAGCCCTCGGCCCTAAGAAGCCCCCAGGAGGACCCCAGAGGCCCCTGAGAGGTCCCAAGAGGCCCCCCAGAAGCCCTCAGGAGACCCCCCAAATGCCACCCCCCAGCACGCAAGCAAGCGAAACAACATGTCCAGCCTTCGCCCCTACGAAGCCCCCAGGAGAACCCCAGAGGCCCCTGAGAGGTCCCAGGAGGCACCCCAGAAGCCTTCACGAGAGCCCCCAAATGCCACCCCCCAGCACGCAAGCAAGCAAAACAACATGTCCAGCCGTCGGCCCCAAGAAGCCCCCAAGAGGAGCCATGAGGCCCCTAAGAGGTCCCAAGAGACCCCCCAGAAGCCCTCAGGAGACCCCCCCCCCTCCAGCACGCAAGCAAGCGCTAGCGATGTGCTACAAGATCGGCCCGAGAGGCTTCCAAGAGGGGCCCAAGACTTCCCAACAGCGCCCCAAGACTGCCCAACAGGGCTCCAAGACAGGCCAAGAGGCCTCCTAGACAGCCCACGAGGGCCTCAAGGACGCCCCAAAAGGAACACCAAACGGCCACTCGGCCAGTCAACGGCGGTGCGCGATATGGGCCGGCGGAATGAGCGAAGCGATTAAATAAAGCTCCCCATCAGGTCAAACAAGGATTCAAACATAATCAAACACATTCCAATAGAGCCAAGGCTCTGCAAAAAAATCAGAATTTCTTCAAACCCGACGGTTTGAGATTTGGGCTGGGATTCGGAACTGGTCCTGGGGCGGAAAACGCGTCGTCCGGTCTACCAGTCCCCCCTCGCGAAGCCAATGCACCAATGCACACCATGGGGTGCGCCGCGTATGCATTGCCGTAGATTGCAAGGAGGAAGGGGGCACACCTGGCACGCTCAGGTGCAAGAGCAACCACACGATGCGGGTGCCGACGCGACGCCAGGCTCACTCCACAAGAGAATCACCTGACCCCCTTGGGGCTAGAAACCGAGGTCACTCGAGCGAAAGGTCATTCCCACGTGCAGTCGAGATACATTGGGGGGGAAGGTGCACTCCTCGGGACACGAAGGCTCGCTTTGGGGCCATACAGGGCCCGGCCAGGGGCCCTCGAGGGCCCCCTCTCTGCAGCCCTCGCTGTCCCTCTCAGCGATCGCCCTCCCACTTCGCGCGAAGCCCACCCGACCTGCCCCGCTGAGGCTCCGTGGGGGGGCCAGCCCGCACCCACGAGATTCTGGCGAAGCGATTCTGTCATGGCGGCGGGCGGTTTCGCCTGGCCTCGGGCCCTGGAGCCCTGGACCCCCCAAACTTGACACCTCCTTGGGAGGGCAGCTTTTACATCCGCCGAGCTTCCGCCGAGCTTCCGCCGAGCTTCCGCCAGCTTCCGCCGGCGGATGCGGCCTCGATGTGCTTCCGCCGACCTGCCGCCGGGGAAATGAGGCCACCTCTTTCCATCCCCGAAGGCAATGACCTTTCTGGATCGCGCCACATGGATCCGGCTCGGGCAATGAAGCAGAATGATGGGGTCTAGGGCTCCAGTCGTGATGTTTCAAAATCCTGGTTGGCAACGCCAGACCTCTGGGTCGGCTCTGGCGAGGATCTCCAGGTGTTCCTCTCATCATCGACGCAGCTCCAGGGGGGACGAGGAAGGAGAGAGGGAGTGATGAGGAGGAGGAGGAGGGAGGAGGAACGAGGACGGAGGAGCGGGGGATGAGGGAGGCGCGATGGAGGAGGGAGGAGGGGAGGCGCTCGGAGGCCCCTGGGGAGGTTCTCGGCGGTTCTCGGGGGTGGGGGGGGGGGGGACGGAGGCTTGTGGAAGCTCTTGGGGCGCGGGCTCCACGGGGCGTGCCTTCACTGCCTGGCCTCCGCTGTCGGCGCCGCCCGCGTGGGAGGGAGGGCGAGCAGGGGGGGGCTGATATTGTCAAGCCCAAGGCGTCGAGTGGGAAGTGGCGTCTTGCGTCCGCCACGTCTTTGCTTCCGCCGCGTCGGAGTGGGCGTCGAGATACTCCCTGTCCCTGAGGTTGTCATGTCCAAGGCGATGACAATGTTAGGGATGTGCCCTCAGAACCAGAAGGAACCCTTGTGAGGCCAGCACCGAGATAAGGTGATGCCACTCACAGGGATAGGGATGATCTTCAGGCTGATCAGGAACGGCGACGAGGCGCGTGCAACCGATAGAACACACCCGAACCTCGCACAAACTACCCCCGCCACAGGACCAGTCGCGGCGGACCGCTACGGGGCGAGGCTGCAAAGCCGCCTCCACGCACCTCTGGTCCGGACACGATGCCGCCTTGGAAGCGGCCGAGGGATTTGTGCTGGATGGGCCCTGAGAAAATCGGTCCACCGGGGAGGGACGATGGCAAGTCTGTCAAAATCTGTCCCCAGAGGTCTCCTGGGGACGAAGCTGACCAGTTCATCGAGCCGCGCCTAATCGTGGAGACGATGGGCCCCCTTTCTCCCTCCATTCTGCTGGCCAGAACCAGCTCTGGTGCACCTCAGCCCCCCAAACCGGCTCAAGCTGCCGCGAGGCCCTGTGAATACGAAGTAGAACCTGTGACCCTCGCCGAGGCAGACGGCTGGGTCACCGGCCCTCTGGACGGCGTCCCACTCCCAGTCCGGCATGATCACGGCGCTCAGCTCCCTGAAGCGTGCACCATGCCGCGTGTAGGCGGCAATGCACAGGTCGCGCCTGGTGGCTCCCCCAGGCTCCACCGAGCTCCCGGTGCCTCCACAAGTCCCCACGGTGGCTGCAAGCCCCGCGAGCGTCAGGAGCGAGTTCGGCGCAGGCCTGGGCGCCATCTTCCATGGCCTCACAGGCGCCCGCAGAACAGCGGGACGCGCCTCCCAACAAATCCTCCGCGCTCGAGCAAGAGACTGCGACGATGGCGCAGACGTGCACGACGCGCTAAAGAGCGGCAACACGGCAGTAAGATGACGACATCCCAACCCTACCCCCACCATCCATCGATTCTCCTGAATCGATCGGAGGCGGGGGTGGGGTTCGGATTTCGCCACGTGTTCGACGAGTTTCCAACCCTACCCCCGCCGCTCATGGAGTTTTCTGCATCATTGATCGGCAAGGGTAGAATTTGGATTTCGCCGCCGAGTAGTCCACGCAACGCAGGGCCCTGCCCCGGAACCCGTGCACGACTGCATCCAGACGCAAGCAACCTTGAGCGCCTGGCGAGCGGTCTGCGGAAGGGCGAGGGCGTTGTGCGAAGGAGCAGGGTCTGGGAGGTCGCCAGGGAACGCTGCAAGCAGGGATGCGGCCGAGAAGAAGCCGCGGGGGAGAAGCGAGGCCGAGGTGGCCTGGGGACGCCCGTGATTTCAGACCACTCCGGGGCTACTCTCCCACGCCGCACGGCCACCTCTTCAAGGAGTGAGGCGGCACGATGCCAGGGGACTCGTGAGCTCTGCCTGCTCACACATGCCCAGCTGATATTTCCCACGGTCGGAACGCAGGTGGCTTCAGCCACGCATTCTGATGAACCTCTGCGACGAAGGAGTCGTTGCTCACAAGCGTCACACCGCAAGCACGAGCCTGCAGACTTTCAAAGCTTCACGACTTCGTCAAGCCAACGGTTGCCCATCCGAGGACCCATACTGCTTCAAACACCACTGCCTGCTTGCAACATATGCACCAACTACACGAAGACATCAGGACCCCGTCCGTAACCAGCGGCAACGATGTTGACCTGGACAGCCTGGTCTGTGGCCTCATCAGCATAGCCATATGTGATAGCCCCTTCGTAGAAAGTTCCCTGAGCCCAATTGCTGTTATCACCACCGGTGCCAAGAATTATTGCACCCTGCTTCTTCATTGGAGTATAATTTCCTCCAATTGGAGGAAACTGCTGATGCTCTGGGCGTTCCCCGTCATACAATGTTTGTAAGCGACCCGATTGCGCGTCGGCGCCTTTTAGAGAGAACGTGCCAGCCTTCCCTTTCAGCATTGCAGTGACGAAGCGTGCGTCTATGGATGGGTTTCCTAGGTTCACGCGGTCTTTCCCAGGAAACAAACCGTTCTCGAGGTCCGCCATGACCCAGGGGCCATTGCCACCGCCATGGCCCCAAGGCCAATTCGATTGACCAAAATAGACCGCTTCCATGGTCCCGGCCCCGTCATCATGTGAATCAACTTCCGCATTCCCATAATCAAAACAACAATAACGGTTGTAGTGTCTGCCATTTACGACCATGTACATCGACTCGGGCTGATCTCCCACTGCCAGGCCCGTCGCATTATTGTTCCGATATCCTTTCTTACTCTCAAAGTACGCGCCATACGCACGATGAGCACCCACCCAGAGCACGTCTTTCGATGCATTGACACCTTCATCGGGATGATGAGCGCTGAAAGGTGCCCCGCCAGCTGGTCCAACATCCAGGTGATTCCCCCGAGGAGATTGATCAAAGATCCGCTGGACGACACATGCTGAGTTGCTGCAAAATGCATCTTGCACTGATGAGTCTGCGAATCCACCGGGCACTAGCAGAGGAACTTCGATGGTTGCATTGTCCACTGCCCGTTTGACTGCGTACAGAGGTCCGCTGTAGGAGGCGTAGAGTGCTCGGACCATGCTGTGTGCGGCGACACACGGCGTGCCAGCAGCATCATAAATGTCGCAGGTCCCGCCAGTACTGAGCATGACAGCGACAAAGACGATGCAGCTGAGCAGCTCAAACTCAACGCCCCTCATGTTACTGCGGAGGTGCGTGCATCGTCCGAAGATGATTGAACTCAAAGGCTACGGAGTAAGGAGGCCCCCAAGGAGATCCCAAGGACCAGCCATCTGACGACACTGGAATAATACTGCGACGGTCAAATAATCAGTATGACTATACGGCAACCCTTCGGGTGATCAGGAGGTGTGGATGGGAGGAACCAATCGATCTCACTATCGATCCAACCATCGATTTCACTCGCTCGATCTCACTCTATGGATCCCAACATCGATCCCAATATCAATATCACCATCAATATGACTATCGATCTCACGATCGGTGTACAATAGACCTCACCATCGCTCTGACTGTCTATCTCACAATCGACCTCACCATCGACCTCACAATCGATCTCACTATCGATCTCATTGCATTGAGCTCACTCGATCGATCTCACTACCGATCTCAATATCAATATCAGTACCGATCTCACTATCGATCTCACTCAATCGATCTACAATCGATCTCATGATCGATCCCACGATCGATTCCAGTATCGATCTCACTCGCTCGATCTCACCCGATCGATTGCATTCGAGCGCCTTCACTGTCGCCCTCACTATCGATCTCACTATCGATCTCACACTCGATCTTACAATCAATCTCGGTATCGATATCACTATCGATCTCGCTGTCGGTCTCACTATCGATCTCACGGTCGATCTCACTATCGATCTCACTATCGATCCCACAATCGATCTCACTATCGATCTCACAATCGACCTGACGGAACACCACGGGACAGCATGGGACATCGCGCCACGGGGCACCACGGGCCACCGCGGGTCACCACCGGACACGACGGGCCACCACGGGGCACCATCGGGACACCATGGCAGGACACCTTGGCCACCGCCGCCGAACTTTCCGACGGCTCAAGACGCCCCCAGAGGCCGCGAAGGTGGCCCCGAGAGCGCACAAGAAGCCTCCGAGATGGGCCCCTGACGGCCCAAGCTGCCGCTAAAACGGCCCCTCGAGGGCGCCAAGGCGGCCCAGGAGACCTCCAAGACGCCCAGATCGCCTCCAAGACGGCCTTGAAGCGCCCCAAGAGGGCCCCAAATCAGCCCAGAGAGGAGAGGCTCGCAAGATAGCTTGCGACGGCGTCAGACGGGCCAGGAACGTCCTCAGACGGCCAACAAAAAAGCAGAGCCTCCAAAGTCCCCAGGAGGCCAAAGTAAGCCCCCTAAGAGGCCTCCAAGAGGCCCCCAGGAAGCTCCCAGGAGGCCACGAGAGTGCCCCAAAAGGCTCCAAAGAGCCTTTTCCTCCTCCTCCTCCTTCCCTCCTCCTTGACCCTTCCTCTCCTCCTCTCTTTCTTTCGCCCCGACGTGTTCTCCGAAGGGTTTCCACAACGGCTGGGAGAACAAGTAGTCCAGCTTGGCCGAGCTATGGCCGCAACGTTCGACCACACAAGCTCTCCCACAAGGCAGGGTGCGGCGGTGATTCGCCGTAGGCGTCTTCCATATAACGTAGAGAGGGAGAGAGACAGAGCGAGAGAGACAGACAGACAGACAGTAAGAGAGAGAGAGAGAGAAAGAAAGAAACAAAGAGAAGACATAAAGAAAGAGACGGAGAGGGAAGTTACGTGACAGTCGCCGCATTAACTAAACAATATTCCCACCGCGGGATTTCTCGGGGCCGTTTGGGTGCCGCTTGGCTGCCTTCTCGGGGCGCTTTTTGGCACTCGCGCCCCCACTTCGCGCCGTCTTGGGTTCTCGCGGGCGTCTGGAGGTGCTCCGTTCTCAAGAAGCCCTCTCGGGCTGTCCTGGAGTACGCATGAGCCGTCCTGGGCTCCCGCGCGGCCCTTCTTGAAGCTCTACTCTGGCCCGCCTGGGCCGTCAGGGGGACTTCTTGGGCCCCTGTATGGGGGGCCCTCTTGAGCTCGAGGGGGATACTGATACCGCTGCTCTTCTCGGAGATCCTTCGTCGCCACAACTGGATGATGCTCGAAATGTCTGCCAAAAGGCACCCCAGCAGAGACCCGGGCCAGGGGGCCGGGGTGTAGCGGTATCGGTACCCAGGCGGGTCTATGGAGTCGTCCTCGGCCGACCCTTCAGGCGCTCTCTTGGGCCGTAGTGGCGTTCTCTGGGGCCGTCTTGAGCCATCTCGGGGCTGTGCTAGTATGCTCGGGGACGTCATTGGTCCTTGTTGGGCCTCCAGAAACCCTCCTGGGATCTCTGGAAGCTTCCAGGGACATCCGGAGACCTCCAGGAACCTCCAGGCGGGGAGAGGAGGAACACCGCCTCCCCTCCCTGTTGCGGCGTCCCACCTCCCTGATCGAGGCCCTTCGCCAGAAACATCTCGAAGCAGACCAGGCTTGCCAGATATCTTCGCCTCCAGCGCTGTCCAGCGACGCGGAATTGAAAGGGCATAAGACGGTCCCACGACGCCATGAGGGAGCTTCCGTTGAGGCTGGGAGCCTCAAACTCAAGCCGCATATGCACCCATTTCTTCCCTCCCCCTCTTCTCTTTTCATCTCCCTCTCTCCCGGCCACTTCCTCTCCACCACTCCATTTTCCCCACTCCTCCCCGTTCTGATTCCGAAGCGCAGTAGGCTAAGAAGGGCGAGCGATTTGACGCCAAGCTTGTATTAGCCATTCTCGAGGCATGCACAAAACGACACAACGGAAAGCTCAACGGTCTAGGTTCTACCGAACGGCAGCCTCCAGATCGGAGAACAGCTCGGCATGAACACCCTGAAGGGGCGCGATTCCAACCCTATCTCAGCTGACCAGAGCGGCTCTGGGCAACCGCGTGTGAACTTTACCCCTGGATATCAGATTTCTGAAACAGTGGCGGGGCGTATGCAGCCAAGTGGACTCCTGTATGGGGTGTGTCGGATAGCCCAGGGTCGATTGGTCCCTCCCCCATTTCTCTGGGCCCGTCTCCCCTCCTCCCCTTTCCCCCTCTTCCCTGGGCCCGTCGCCGCTCCCCCCCCGCTTTTCCAGGGCCTCCCCCTCAAGAGCAACGTTGTCATCCAGTCGAAGGGAAACCCCTTCCCCTTGATCCCTTCCCTGCCCTGGGGGGTGGGGGGTCCCGGGGGGTGTCCCTGGGGGGTCCCAGGGGGAGTCCCGGGGGGGGGGTCCCGGGGGGGATCCTGCATCAGATACGACTCCCCCCCTGGGGGTCCCAGGGCCCACACAAAGCCTCAGACAGGCCAAGAGCCGAGGCATTCTACTACGCCCTCTCCTCCCTCCCCCCTCCTCCCTCCATCTTCATCTCTCCTCTTTCCTGTCCCCCTCCAGAACCGAACCGGCCTCCTGGACGCTCGGCCACGGGACACCCCAGGACCCAGAATTCCGAGGTCCCCGGGACCCTCCAGGACCCAGCCCCGAGGCCCTCCTCCCAGGATCCAGCACTAGGAACCAGCCCCCCCAAAAGTCCAGGAATCCCAGGCCCCAGGCCCTGCTCGCCTCGTCCTGCTCCTATTAATTTCCTCTCCTCCTCCTCCTCCTCCTCCTCCTCCTCCTCCTCCTCCTCCTCCTCCTCCTCCTCCTCCTCCTCCTCTCCTCCTCCTCCTCTCCTCCCCTCCTCTCCTCCTCCTCCTCCTCCTCCTCCTCCTCCCCTCCTCCTCCTTCCTCCTCCTCCTCCTCCTCCTCCTCCTCCTCCTCCTCCTCCTCCTCCTCCTCCTCCCTCCTCTCTCCTCCTCCTCCTCCTCCTCCCTCCCTCCTCCTCCTCCTCCCCCCTCCTCCTCTCCCTCCTCCTCCCTCTCCTCCTCCTCCTCCTCCTCCTCCTCCTCCTCCTCCTCCTCCTCCTCCTCCTCCTCCGCTTCCTCCTCCCCCCATCCTGATCCCTGACGTCCTCCGCCTACTGCTCCTCAACGTCCTTGTCCTGCTCGTCGTATCCGTCTGCAGGGTCGGCGGCACCGGCCGTAAGGCCTTAGCAATAGAAGCTGACAATATGTTTTGGAGCAGACCAGAGCAATCCACCTCACCCCCGACCCGCATCACCATAACGGACAAGCAGATATAGCGATACAAACCCTGAGGGCCTGCTGAACTCACGAAGAATCCTAACAGATCCCATCGGGGAAAACCCAAAAAGGTGTTTGCCGGGTGTCTATGAAGGGGGCCTGGGACACAAATACATACAAATAACAGGATTCCACATATTTCCAATATTTTCTGGGTTTTTCATTTTCCCCCCACTTCCCATATTTTCCAATATTTTCTGAGGAATCGACGATTAATATGTCTATGTGTGTTTGCTTCCCTCCTGAGTCTAGCAGATCGAGGAGGCACGTCACACAGGGTGGCAGCCAGCAAGAGGCCAGGAGGACCAGCCCAGGACCCCTGCATGGCTGCGGCAGCACGGCCCTCCGGTCTTTTGAGCGCGCCAGCAAGCCCTCGATCTTTCGTGCGTCGAGCGCCCACTGGGGGGCATCGCCGACCAACTGCATGCTCATCGCCTGTAGCCCGCTGCGGAAAAAACACCACGTGCGATGCCGGGATTGGGGACGACAAACGATGACCTATCGAAGAGTGGACACTGGGCGTGCGACTGCAGCTGTCATTGGGACGCTGAGCCGGCTGTGTAGTTGGAGATACACCACACTACGCCGACCGGCCGCAGCGTAAAACGGCCAGGCACACATTTGCATCCAGCACCGTAATTGACCGGATCAAGCGCCACGCCAGGAGCGGTGCTGGAGGCGCCGCCAGGGGGGTCCAGCGCCAGTCCAAGGCATCCGCGCAGAGCCCCGAAAGTAGATGCCTATGCAGTTGATTCCTGTTCGGCCACATGCCTCGGGAGCGCGGTTGGGGGTCCAACCCTCCAACATATCCACGGGTCCGCGCTGCGGCTCTCTTGGGAGCCTCTCGGCATCTCTCAGACATCTTGTGGGTTTGTCGATGCCGGGAAAGGGCGCAGGCTAAGGTTCGCTTTCAGTTTGTGAACTGTCCCTGGTCTTCAACTTGCGTTGGGCTGGCGACTTCTGTCTTCGATTAATAACGCGGTCGCGTAGGGCACGCGAATCAAAGTGTTACGGCTGTCCCTAGCGAAACGCTTAGTTCACATAGCTTGTTGAGG